GGCGTTCCCGCGGGCGCGTGTGGAGGAGCCGCGCGCGCCTTTGCGCAACGGTCGTTGGGCAACGGGCGCAACGGAAGGCGGTTAAAAACCGTTGGGCGCCGCTCCTTAGCGTCGCCCTGTGGGAAGGGAAGGGGGGAGCCGAGTCCCGGATTGCTCCCCGGTGAGCGCTGGGTGCGTTTCTTTACCTTTTAATCTCAGTTTTGTGGGGTTTTTTTCCTGAGGAACGGGGAGGTCGGGTTTCCGGCCGCGGTGGTGTGAGTGATCCCCTTTCCCCGGAGCCGATTTCTGTAAATATTTGTTCGAGGATGGATTTGTTGCCAGTACCTGGCTTCCATTAACGGTGGCTACTTCGTGGGATGGTGTGGTTTCAGGTCGGGCAGTTATTCCGTGAAATAAAAAACAAAATGGTGCTGGGGATTTTTTTAAAGGAAATCTTTAATAATAAAAAAAAAAAAAATCCTGAAATTCAGCTCTCCATTTTTCTGTAAGCAGGAGGAGAGCATTCATCTAGTGAATCGGGCAGGCAGTGGTAGGAAATTTGCTTGAAGAGGCCAAGTCCAAGGACATAATGGTTAAACAGAGACCTAGAACTAAAGGGGCTCATTCCCACTTGCAAAACTTGCTAGAGTTACTTAGCCTTGACTAAGGAAGGATTTTTCTGAAAGAAGGAACTCATGAAATGATGTAACTGTGACTGCTCAGGAAAATGTCTACTGTCCAAATAGCAGTAAATGTTGCAAACGAATGATCTGTCTGCAAATGGTTAACTCACAGTGACATGAACTTCCAGACAGACATCAAAATCGCGGAAGAGGTGACAAAAGGAGGCAGGAAGCTAGAACTTGTGTGTGGCAGTATGATGTCTGTGTGCATATAAATGCATACATGTGCATGTGTATAAGGATGTATCTGTGACAAGAGGTGTTATTTAAAAACACTGTGATGTGAATGGTCCACTGTTTAAATAGCAATATTCTCATTCATGTGTTTACTTACTCTGATTTAAATATTTTGTTTTTATTTCAGTTTAGACACCAAAGTTGTAGAGTTGCTAAAGCATCCTAGGATATTCTGGATAAGAGGTTTTTCTTTAGTGCCAGTGGATTTATGATTATATTTTTCTAATTGTGTGTGCCCATGGACTTTCCCTTCAGTTTTGGCTCTAAGTGCTTCAGTACATACTGTAAGCAGTTATTGGCATTGATTGCCTGGGCAAGGCAATTGCCCAGTTGATGGCTGGGAGCCAGCCAGTTGGGGTTGAAATTAACTTTCACCACCTACAGCTACTTACTGTGGCCCACCTAGGGATTCCAGAATAGTATTTTTAAGTAATCACTCTGAGTGCTCTGAGCAGTCATTATCGGTCTTGTAATTAAACGATTACTATTACTTTAGACTATTTCTACTTTTTATGTATGAAGAGTTGCATGTCATTGGACACATCCATTCCTTTCGGAGGGGTCAGTTTCCCAATACTCCACGCTTTCTCTTGTTCTGGGTTGTCTTTCTTGCTGCTTTGGTAAATAAAACTAAAATGACAACAAGGTGCCTTGGCACCCGGCTGCCAGGCCGCTGAGCTTAGCTAAAGATACTTCCCCTTTCTCTGTATCACTTTGCTACACATTTTTTGTGTGAGCATGTCACCTGCACCTACACTTTTACTTTGTTAACTACATGATTTATATATACAATTTAACTTAAAAATATTGTATTTTTTATACTTTTCTTTCTTAACATTTAAAAAAACCCCAAATGGATGAAGTAATTTGAAGATTTACTTGTCAAAGATGTGGTTCACCAGCTGATGGCAGCTCATAGTTACTTCCAGCATTCTGAAGTGAGCATAAAGAGGCTCTGTAACACCATGCAGTTCATTGGTAACGTTTCACACTTTCTCAGAGTTGAACATAGGTATTCAAGAGGCAGTCATGCCTTTCGTGCCATTTTTCCTTACTCTTTTCTAATCGTTGTATTATTCTGTACCTTTTCCTCCAGAGGGTGGTAACTACATGAATGTGGAATGAAAAAAAATTTGTCAGGGAGGAGTGTTTTAAAGGGAAATGTAAGTTGCTTCATAGTCTGGTGCTAGGAACAACCCATGGAGCCTACCACAACAAGGGGTGTTGCATGAACACACTCATCGTGTTGGTTTTAGGAATCCTGAACTCTAGAGAGCTAGAAGGGTGTTTCCTTGTTTCCACTTCTGTTCTTTATTGGGACTGTCATTTGCCACTTTTTCTTCACCTCTGAGCACTTGTTGGCTGAGATGGGACAACAAAGACAAGTGGCTTCTGCTGAAGAATTTCTAGGGCAGAATAAAAAGAAGTCCTGTCTTTGTGGATCAAGTGACAGATACTTAAAAGCAAAAAGTGGCAGATCTTCTAAGTGAGCCAACATATTTGTGTTAAGAGCTGCTGAACAAATTGTGCTCACAGGAATGAACAATCCCACTTTGTAGTATTGAATCACGAGGGGTAAGTTTTTCCACCCACAAAATAGGTTTTAGATTTCAATGTAAACCTGCCTCGATTTATCCTAGTTTTAATGGCTATCAAAGAAGATATTACTATAACTTAAATTAAAATTTAGTTGGTACCATGGTATTACTCTGCCTTTAGAAGCAGTCCTTTCTTTCAAAGGCTACACAGTGTTAGCCTAACATGAATTAAGCCTCACAACTCACCTTGCTGTACAAGTGGGTAGACAGAAGAAAAGAGATCGGAGTTGCTTATGCAAAGCCACAGGGGAAGGCATGAGCAGAGCTGGGATGACGGCTAATGTAGCAGGCATGCTGTGCTTCCTGGCCTTCCAAGGAAGCAGTGTTCCCTTAGAAATAAGTAGAACAGGATGAAATGGCCACACTAAGACAAGGGGATAAATAATATAAAGGTTTTTGCATAATGGGAGCATTTTTAGAAAACAAACAAAATAAAACAAACCCTGGTTGCATCTCCATGGACAGCCTATCCCACTGACACCTTTGGGACTGAGCTGAGTCCCATCCCAGAGGAGCAATGAAAGTCTGGACATGGCTGCTCTGGGGCTGTCTTGCACCCATTTTAGTACAGCACTTTGCTTAGTAATGCTTCATTGTCATGCAAAATACATTTGTGAGCCTGATATAACAGCGACTTCTGGAACGCCTATCTCGAGGCAACAGGTTTAATGACTCAGATAATAGCAGCGAGCCTCCCACCATAGAATAATTTTCTTGGATACTGCTTCTAGTCACTGTTGAGACTCTAACCCTTTGGAGGTAGGGGGCAGAAACTCCCTGGGACTTGGCTCCATATAAACAAGACTAGATAAAATGTGTTGAGGAAATGCTAAGTGCATTCTGTCCAAGTGGTAGCTAAGAGGCCTCCCTGTTCATACGTATTTATCCAGCACTGTGGTACCATCAGAAAGATATATAATCATTGGATATGAACCAACTCACTCACCCTACTCTCCTGCAATGCTGCTTTATGAAATATAAGCCCCATTTATGATGGAAATATATGACACTTGTACTTTGAGTTCTTATTCCTTAATACTGCGAGATATAATACAGTCATCTTAGCAATATGCTGTGTCCTTTACTCCCTTGCATTCCTTTCCTGGTAAGGTTGTCAGAAACTTGTGGAATAGGAGCTAGTCCAAATTGCAGTGTCAAATCCCAGGCACTTTATTAAAAAAGCATATGAAGTCTCACTTCTCTTGTATCGCTCCTCTTACCATTAGGATTTAGGATCTTCCACAGATGGTTGCAAAGCTTCTGAGGATCTCTCTGCAGCATGAGTTTGTGATGTCCTGCAGAGTGGTGTTTTCCTAAGCCTTTACAGGATGAGATCCTGCCTTAGACAAGTGCTGGGCAGCTAGGAGACAGCACACACAGTAGCTGTAGTAGAAACCTGCTCTGCACTCACTGTGCCCTTCTGCTACCCTAGAAGGATAGTCACCTGTCTCCCGTTTCTTCCCTCTCAGCCCTAATGGATGCCTGGTATCCCATAGTTCTGCAGCTATTTTTAATTTGAAGCTGCCCAGCAAAATGATTCCCTGGAGAAGGAGGTCCTCCCAACTGCCCATTTTCTCTCTTCATCTGTAGTAGGCGATGACAGAGAATCATAGAATCATTAAGGTTGGAAAAGACCTCTAAGATCATTGAGTCCAACCGTCAACCCAACACCACCATGCCCACTAAACCATGTCCCTAAGCGCCTCATCTACACGTCTTTTAAATACCTCCAGGGATGGGGACTCAACCACTTCCCTGGGCAGCCTGTTCCAATGTTTCACCACTCTTTCAGTGAAGACATTTTTCCTCACATCCAATCTAAACCTCCCCTGGCGCAACTTGAGGCCGTT